AAAAGAAAGTTGGTGCTTTGGTGGCAGCGCCTGTGGTTCAGTGGGTATGGTGCCAGCCCCATATGCTGAGGGTTGTGGGTTCAAACCCAGCCCCAGCCCAACTCCAACAACAAAAAAAAAAAAATAGCCAGGCATCGTGGCAGGCACCTATAGTCCCCGCTACTGTGGAGGCTGAGGCAAGAGAATTGCCTAAGCCCAAGAGATGGAGGTTGCTGTAAGCTGTGTGAAGCCACAGCACTCTACTAAGGGTGATAAAGTGACAAAAAAAAAAAAAAGAAAGAAAGTTGCATTTAATACTATTTACTGTGATTACCAAATGCTAAATGCCCTGGCTTACTTTCCCTGCCCTATGGGAAGAGAGTGAAGAAGTATACACCCGTGTCTTACACAAATGAGACACCTCATGTATGCCTGGGGGATTGTCCTGCTCTTGCACTCTCTAGGAAAAGCAAACTCTTGCCCCTAACATGGGTCAGTCATGAGTATGCCCAGAACATTTACAATTATATAGTCATAACGTGAAGAGTCGCTACTGAGTACAAACCTGTTTCTGGCTTTCCTGAAGTTGAGAATTTTCATTCATTGCATCTTTTATTGCCATCTTAAGCCGTTCTTCATTCATTTGAAATATCTTGAAAGTTGTTTTGGCCTAAGTAAAACATAAAATACTGAGTTTATAGCAATTAATTTAATTTAATGCATAGTTTATCTTTACACATATTCCCTAGAATATGGAATTAAACAAAGGCAAAAACATGCCAATATTAATAGCAGAGGCAGCCTTGTATAACAGAAAAAAGGCTGGCATAAAATCAAGAAATAGTCCTCTCTCTTCCACTGACTTGCCACGTGACCCTAGCCAAATGATTTAACCCCTTGTAACCTTCTATTTACTCTGCAGCAAATTTCAACCATTTATTACGCATTTCCCCCAGTAAAATTTAAACTTCATGGGACACGTTTGTCTATTAATGTTAACTGTCCAGCTCTGTCAACAGTGCTAGTACATATTAACAGTTCAAAAAAGGCCAGTGGGAAAAAAACTGTACTGATGTTCCTCATTAAAAAAAAAAAAAAAACCTATACTGTATCCTTTATATCTCAAATCCTAATATTGTACATTATTCCTTTAAAATAAGAAAAACCAATTAAATCCAAATGATTTTCAAAAACCCATTAGACTTATTAGACTAATTCAACTTACTTCAGCTACTTGTGATTTGAGAGATTTTGATTCATCTTCAAGAGACTGTATTCTTTTTGAAATATCTGCCATCTGGAAAGACAGTATCAGTCCATAAACAAGTACTTACTGACGTCCTCCAGCTTCCAAGATGCCATCTATATTAGATATGTTAACCTAACACTTTTTCTCCACATGTGAGGCCCCAAATTAGGAAAGCTTCTCAATCTTTCCAGTCATATGCTTAAAGGGACTTCACATGAAATTTATTTAACAATAGTATCTTACCTCAACTTTAATATTTCATAGCATTTAAGTTATATAAGCTCAAGATAACTTCACCAACATCATTTCTTTCTGAATAATATCACCCACATCAATGTTTTTATTAAGCTATATTTTAAAAAAGAAAAGATTATGATGTTCATAACATCTTTCACATAAAAACCACTATCTACGTGACTATTCAACTTAAATTATTTATATGCACTACTTCCAATGCTACTTCATAGTACATATAAAAAACTTCTATAAGACTATGCGAGAAATTTAACATGGTAATATCTAGATGTGAAGGATGGAGCTGGAAAATTTTGCTCTCTAAAACCTTCTGTATTCTTGGCATTTTTTGTAGTCAAGTAATACTTTAACCAATATGAAATTGCTTTTTAAAAACTCAACAGCTTTTTCTTACATTCTCCTCAAATACAAAAGCCTTACCAGTTCATCTTGTTCAGAATGTTTAGATTTCTCTTCTTTTAATTTTTTTTCTAGACAATGTATTTCATCCTCAAGTTTACATTTGGAACTGTTCAGCTTGTCATAGATTGCCTAAAAGAAACAGCCAACTTTATACAATAAACTTGCGAATTTGGGGTTAGGGCAAATCAGAAGAGTTTAATTAAATATACGTGCTATGAGTTAATTTTTGGTTTATATATTTGCTTATTTTTATAATATTAAAATAATGGAAGTTCTAGCAGGGGTCAGCAAACTGCTTCTGTGAAGAACTGGAGAGTAAATATTTTAAATTTAAATTTTAAATAGGCCATGTAGTCTTTTGCCACTACTGAACTATGCTATCATAGTGAGAATACAAAGACAATACCTAAATGAATGAACATAGCTGTGTTTCAATAGAATTTCATTTACTAAAACAGGTGAAAAGCCCTTGCCACAGTTTGCCAACTTCTGCTCTAAAGCATTGTATGGAAAAAAAAGAGAAATAAATCTAATTCAATATAATTAAATACATAAGATACAAAATAAACTCAAAAACCAAAGATTGCTTGATGATAATATTCCACATTGAATTAAAACATTTTCTGTGAACTTTTTTTAAATTAAAATGATTAGTTGTTGGATTATTCCAATTGAATTTTGAAACTATAATAAACATACCTCTGATATTTGTGATCCTTCAACAAACTTGTTTAAAAAAAATAAACAAAAAGTTTCGAAATATTTAATGCAGGCCAAAATAAAAACAGAACAAATACATACTGTACTATATACAGTGGTTACAAAACAAAAGTTATTTACATAAGTTATGTAACAATATTTCACTATTCCATTATAGAAATTCCCTGACATGAATCAAAATGTCACCCTATTAGCTTGATTTTATCTACAGAGTCAACTATCAACTTTTTTTTAAATTGTGTAACACTATAGTTTACATATAATTATGATTACAATTCCTGAAAAGAAATGGTCTTGCTATATGTTAAAAAAAAAAAAAAAAACACCGGGGCGGCGCCTGTGGCACGGTGAGTATGACACCAGCCCCATATACCGAGGGTGGCAGGTTCAAACCCAGCTCCAGCCAAACTGCAACAAAAAAATAGCCGGGCGTTGTGGTGGGTGCCTGTGGTCCCAGCTACTCAGGAGGCTGAGGCAAGAGAATCGCCTAAGCCCAAGACCTGGAGGTTGCTGTGATGCCATAGCACTCTACCATGGGTAACAAAGTGAGACTCTTGTCTCAAACAAAAAACCCACCAAAATTAGAGAAAAAGTTCTAAACTATTTAATTTAGTGAAAAATTCAGCTACTTTTACTACCATATTATATAAATGCATTGCCCTCAGAATAAATTGGTGTTTTTTATTTTACCCACACTACCAAGTTGAATAAAACATCTCTGCTACTTAGTTTCTGCTCTTTTGTTAGCATGCCAAATGCCTTCTAAAATTCTTTTTATTTATCAAACAAATAAATTACTACTGGGACAGTAGTTAAAACACAGGGTCAACAAATAAAAAATAACAGTTTCACTAGGTTTTTAAGCATAGTACTAGGCAACAAATGAAGAAAAAAAAGATTAAAAATATTATTTTACTTGGAATCCAATTTATAACTTCCTTTCTCCTAGAAAATTCTGAATCTTAACAGACATCAGTGATTAAGAACTGCCAAGCTGGGCAGCACCTGTGGCTTACAGGGTAGGGCGCCGGCCCCATATGCTGAGGGTAGGGTGTTCAAAACCAGCCCGGGCCAAACTGCAACAAAAAAATAGCTGGGCATTGTGGCAGGTGCCTGTAGTCCCAGCTGCTCAGGAGGCTGAAGCAAGAGAATCGCCTAAGCCCAGGAGTTGGAGGTTGCTGTGAGCTATGACACCATGGTATTCTACTGAGGGCAACAAAGTGCCCTAAAAAAAAAACTGCCAAGCTGGACTAAACATGTACACAAAGATACAAATTCTACTGCTTGCTACTTCCATTTCCCCAGACACAGACTTTATCTTCTATCCATTGTCACCACTGTTTGTTACCGTACTTCCATTTCTAAACATAGTAAGGCACAGCCATCACTTACCCTCATCTGTCTTAGTTTAACTAAATTTCTATAATAATTACATACTTTCCTCCTTCCCTACACTTAACCACATCACCCCTGACTCGGGAAAGCCAACTGAGCCCATCTTTCCAACTCCTCATTCAGTGACATCATGTTGGTAGCCTGGAAATGGCCATAGTGGGAGCATTCCTATCACAAAACTCACCAAATGCTACAAATAAGGATTTCTGCCTTTTAGAGAGCCAGATGTTAAACATTTGCCAACACACCACCACTAAAATGTATGCTTTTAGTCTCAATCTAGTTAGCTCCTAATAACCTGGAAATGAGGTAAAGGCAAATGCTATCAAGACTTACATAATTTATTATTGCCAACCATCCCTAAATTTATGAAAATGAATCCTAGTTCTGAAAAAGAACTAGAGCAAACTGAGTCAAAGAGGAATAGCCCCCTTAATGAGGAATGAAGAGTTTCTACACAACTCTACAAATTCCAGTGAACTTGAATATGCCTCACTCAAAATAAGTCAGCAACATGAGCTTACCTTTTTATAATATTTTATGCTACTTAACTAATGTTCTATTTCCTATATTTAACATTTTTCTTTAAATTTTAACATCCAGAGATACTCTTTCACATTTCTTTCAAAAGCTTTTAAGAAGATACATTAAAGTTTCCATTATTTAGTAAGAATCTTTTTTCTAGCTTTTTAAATCGTATCATTGGTTTTTTACCTCCAAACTTTGTGCTTCTGTTGACTCTTTCTCCAAGCTGGCATCCTTTAAAGATGACTCTAAGCCTTCATACTGAAACAAAGCAACCCCATAAGTAAAATCTCTATACATTTTATTCCAAATTATATCTGGATAGATGCCTAAGAAGCAGACAGAATCCACTTCTACATATACATTAAATTTACTTGGCTTTCCTTAAGCTTTAAGCTCTTCAAACCTGACCACTATAACAAACAAAACCAGAGCAGCTAAAACATCACACACCACTAGCTCACACAATAAATGGCAGAACTTCACCCTTAACACTAAGGAAGGTGTCCAAAACTTGCTTCTCAGAGAACACAGAACTGTAACTCGTATTCTCTACTTAAAGGGAGTAAAAATTCAAATGGCAAGGTTGTACTAAAGACTATCCAAAGGTTTACTCAAGATGTATATTTGTATGTAGGTTGTCTACTATTCCCTAACAAGTAAACCTCTTCGTTAAGCCTAGTCCTTAAAAAGAAATTTATAGCAATGGGCCATCAGAAATTTTCACTTTCAATTCATACCACAGAACAAAGAAAACAAGCAGGGAATACAGAATCTTTAAAAGCTAAAGAATAACAATCTACGTAACGCTGTAAGAGTTGGCAAGGACTGGTGTGGTGGCTCATGCCTATAATCTTAGCACTGTGGGAGGCCAAGGCAGGAGGATCACTTGCAGCTAAGATAATAAAACAGTGGCTGGGAAGGAGAAAATGGGAAAACGCAGGTCAAAAGACACAAAGCAGCAAAAACAAAGGATGGATAAAGAAGAAGATTCTTTTTTTTTTTTTGAGAGAGAGTCTCACTTTGTTGCCCCCAGTATAGTGCTGCAGCATCATAGCTCACAGTAACCTCAAACTCTTGGGCTCAAGTGATGCTCTTGCCTCAGCCTCCCAAGTGGCTAGGACTACAAGCCCCCGTCACAACACTCGGCTATTTTTAGAGACGGGATCTTGTTTTGCTCAGGCTCGTCTCAAACTCCTGAGCTCCAGGCAATCAACCCACCTCTGCTTCCCAGAGTGCTAGGATTACAGGTGGGAGTCACTATGCCTGGTCCCTAAAAAGATCTAACATACAACATGTGGACTATAGTTAGTAACAATGTATTATATTCAGTATTTTTGCTAAATGAGCATATTATAGCTCTTCTTGGTTAAGGGGATGGGTAACTGTTACATGTTAATTTCTTTCACTATACTAACCATTTTACTATACATGTATCTTATACCATTATGCTCTATATCTAAAATATACACATAAAATTTATTTTTAAAAAAAGTCAAATTTAGAAAGTTATCTCAGATTTCTAATGTCCGTAGCCTAGGTGCCTATGAAGAGCAACAGTAAATCTCCTCACTAAAGAAAAATTACATCACCCACAGCTTCAAAATTATCTCTACAATTTTTATTATACTACCACTGACACTCAATATAAAAACAACAATTAAATAAGACATGACTTCACTGAAAATCAAGAGAAAAAATAATCAATAAAAATACACGACTAATATACAGATAATGAAGTTCTCAGTCAGACATTAAAATAAGTAAGCATAATATATAAACAGAATTTTTAAAAAATTGAACTAGAGAAAAAGAACTAAAGTATTAGCTGCACTGGAGCTACAGAACTGAAATGAGAATACATGAAATTAAGATCTCATATAGATGGTTTAAAAGATGACTAGACATAAATGAAGACACTTAGTAAAAATGGAAGATAGATCAGAAGAAAACATGTATATCTAGACAGAATTATAAACCAAAAAAGGTGAAAAATCAAGGAAAGAATGTAAATGATATATGAGATACAATTAAAAAATTAAAATATATGTATTTAAAGCCTCAGAAAGAAAAAGGACGCAAAAATAAGAACTGAAAAGTAACAACCAAGAACATCCCAAAAGTAATTAAAAACATTAAGCTATAGATTCTAGAAGCGTCATGAATCCTGGGCGGCACCTATGGCTCACTGAGTAGGGCGCTGACCCCATATATGGAAGGTGGCGGGTTCAAACCCGGCCCTGGACAAATTGCAACAAAAAATAGCCAGGCATTGTGGCAGTGGTCCCAGCTACTCAAGAGGCTGAGGCAAGAGAATCGCCTAAACCCAAGAACTGGAGGTTTCTGTGAGCTGTGACACCACGACACGCTACTGAGGGCCACAAAGTCAGACTCTGTCTCTTAAAAAAAAAAAAAAAAAAGGAAAAGAAATAAAGAAAAGAAAAGAAAATGGCTGAAGCATCATGAATCCCAAGGAGGATAAACAGAAGAAACCACACCTAGACAAATCATAGTAACATAGCTAAAAAGTAAATATAGAGAAAATAATAAAAGTAACCAGGAATTTTTTTATAAAGTTAAACTACACCTGCCCTAATGGCCCACCAATTCCAATACCAAGTATTTACTGACAAAAAGTGAAAACTCACACACACACACACAACTTTGTAGAAGAATATTCACAATTTAGACCAGGTGCAGTGGTTCACACCTGTCACTCTGGGAGGCCAAGGCGGGTGGATTGCCTGAGCTCACAAGTTCAAGACCAGCCTAAGCCAGAGCCAGAGCCAGACCTTGTCTCTAAAAAATAGCCCAGCGTCATGGCGGGCACCTGTAGTCTCCGCTACTTGGGAGGCTGAGACAAGAGAATCACTTAAGCCCAAAAGTTTGAGGTTGCTGTGAACTGGTACTCTACTGAGGACAACAAAGTGAGACTCTATCTCACAAAAAAGAGAAAAATATTCACAACTTTATTCATAATAGTAAACATATTTAAACAGCCACTGAAGAAGTAAATGGACAAACAGATTGCAGTATATAATACAAATTTACTTAGCAGTAAAAAGAAAAGTACAAATACATGCAACAACACAGTGAACCTAAAAATACAATGCTGACTAAAAAGCCAGACACAAAACAGTCTGATTTCATTTACAAATTCTATAAGAGACAAAAAGTAGTCTGTGATGCCATGACAATTCAGTGGGGAAAGAAGAATCTTTTCAGCACAAGGTATTAAAACAAATACACGTCCACATGCAAAAGAATGAAGTTGGAACTACTTCGCACCATATACAAAAATTAATTCAAAATGGTTTCAGGTAAGGTCAGGTATGGTGTCTCACACCTATAACCTTGGTACTCTGGGAGTCCAAGGCAGGTGCATTGCCTGAACTCACAGGTTCGAGACCAGTCTGAGCAAGAGCAAGACCCCATCTCTAAAAATAGCCAGGCTTTGTGGTAAGCGCCTATAATCTCAGCTACCTGGGAGGCTGAGGCAAGAGAATCACTTAAGCCCAACAGTTTAAGGTTGCTGTGAGCTGTGATGCCATGGCACTCTATCCAGTGTGAAAAGTGGGACTCTGTCTCAAAAAAAAAAAAAAACACAACAGCAATAATGAATACCACTCAGCAAGATACCATCACACATTGACATGAACACAACTGTGAGACACCAATATGCCAAGGTTATGAAATCTTACCAAGTTGTCTGTACAGTGCTGCAAACATAAGCACATGGGTGGCAAGTTCATGAACTTAATTGTCAAACATTATATGTCCATTCAAAAACTTGTACATGAATATAATTAGTAGCAAGATGTATACCAAAAACAAAAATAATACAAATTCCATCCAACTGTGGTATGCAACATTATTTGGCAAAAAAAGAGTTAAGTACTGACAAATGCTACAAATGAACAAGAAAAAGTTCTTTTGGGAAGAACTAAAATTGTGTCTGTGTTCGGCATTATGCTAAGTGAAAAAAAGTCATTAATGATTCCATTTATGTGAAATGCCCAGAATAAGCAAATCTAAAGAAACAGAAAGTAGGTTAAGTCATCCAGGATTTTGATGGGGGGCGGAGGAGGACTGAGCAAAGGGTGATAGCTAAAATATTCAAGGTTTCATCGTTGGGATAATGAAAATATTCAAAATTTGGCTTGATGCCTGTAGCACAGTGGGCAGGGCACCAGCCACATGCACTGAGGCTGGCAGGTTCAAACCCAGCCCCGGTCAATGAAACAATAATGACAACTGCAACAAAAAAAATAGCCAAGCATTGTGGCAAGCACCTATAGTCCTAGCTACTTGGGAGGCTGAGCCATGAGAATCACTTGAACCCAAGAGTTAGAGGTTGCTGTGAGCTATGACACCACAGCACTCTACCAAGGGCAACATAGTTAGACTCTGTCTCAAAAAAAAGAAAAATATTCAAAATTTGATTGTTGTGAAGGATGTACAACTCAGTGAACCCACAAAAAGCTATGTATTAACACACTTTAAATTATGAATTATAGGGTATGTAATTATATCCCTATGAAACGGTTAAGAAAAACTATACCATTTAAAATACAGGCAATCCCCAGGTTACAAACAAGACACGTTCCATACATTTGTTCTTAGGGTGAATTTGGACGTAAGCTGGAACAGGCCCATTTACCTATTACCTGTAATAGCCCCTGTTCTTAAGTGTGAGTCCTACATGAGTCACATGTTTGTACCCAATAGCCTCTGTTCCTAAGTGCGAGTTGTATATAAGTCAGATATTTGTAACTCGGGGACTACCTATAGTTAAAAAAAAATCAGATACCTGGGAATAAATCTAAGAAAAGACTGAAACATAAAAGCATACAAAAAAATAGTGAGGGAATCTTTAAATGACATAGGGGAACATTACCACAGTCCATAGATTAAAAATTCAACAGTGTAACAATGTCAATTCTCTCCAAATGATCTATATATTCAATCAAACACCTAGCAGCTGTGTACATGTATGTACACATACATGTGTGTAAACTGATTTAAAATTTATATGAACTGGAAAAGCATCAAGATAGCCAAGACAATCTTGAACAAAAAACCTGGAGGTTTACACCATCAGATACCCAATTTGTTATAAAATTACACTAAAACAAAAAAAAAAAATGGGATTGGCACAAAAAACAAAAAGACCAACAAAACAGAAGATATTCAGAAACAGACACATATATTCACTCATATATTCACTCAGTTTAAGATGATGGTCTTTTTAATAAATGGTATGTATACTGGGTAATTCAATACCCATATAAAAAAAATTGAATCTTGATACACATGCCCCAGTTACACCATCATAGACTCAATTACAGATGGATCAAAGACTGTTATAGACTGAATTGTGTCCCCTAACACCCATACATAAAATCCCTAACCCCTAATACCTCAGAATGTTACTGTATTTGGAAACAGGGCCTTTAAACAGCTGATTAAGTTAAAATAAAGCTGTTAGGGTGAACCCTAATTCAAACTCACTGATGTTCTCATAAAAAGAAAATCTGGACACAGAGAGACACCAGAGATGGGCACATGTGAACAGAAGAAAGACCATGTGAGAATACAGCTGAAAGGCAGCCATCTGCGAGGCAAACAGAGAGGCCTCAGAAGAAACCGTGCCTGCCAACACCTTGATCTTAAACGTCTAACCTCCACTGCAAGAAAAGAAATTTCTGTTGTTTAAGGAACCCAGTTCTGCGGTATTTTGTTAAAGCAGTCCTGGCAAACTAACACAAAGACTAAATGAGAAAAGTAAAAATTTCTGAAAGAGAACACAGAAGAGTATCTTCTTACCCGAGGATAAGCAAAAATTTCCTAACAAAGAAACAAAAAGCAGTCATTATAAAGAAAAGATTGACAAATTAGACCATGTTTAAATTAAGAACGTCTGCTTGCCAAGACACCATTTGAAATAAAAAGGCAAACCACAGTTTAGATATTTGCAGTACATACATCTGACAAAGGAAAATACAGAAAAACATCTACATATCCAAAAGAAAAAAGATAGCCATACTTTTGCAAATGTGAAAAAGACCTGAAAAGGCAATTTCACCAAAAAGATACCTTACCCAAATAGTCAATATGAAAATATGCTCAAATTAATTAGTCAGGGAAGGAAAGTGAAACCACAACTGAGACACCATTAATGAAACAAAGCACTGACGGCCTTAAAGGCACACGGAAGTGCCCACGCGGACAAGCATAAAGCCTTCTGACCCCGACACGAACATTATGTTCAGCAATGTCTTACCTCTTTTTGAACAAGGCTAAATTTTTCAAGCAGTTTACATTTTTCTTCAATTAGTCCAGAAAGCTCTGTAGCAAGCTTTTTCTCTCTACCTAAAAAATAAGTCATTAATATCATGAGTTAATTATTTATTATAAGTTTTAAGATTATATACAACAATGATGAGATCTAAAGTAGAAAAAATGAGCTTACCCACATAAAGCCAGCTTCTAACCTGAAACAAAGTTTTAACAAAAATTGCATTAAAACAAATACATGTTCAAGTAAATCTGATTTATTTAACTTGTACTGCCAAGTTAAAAATAATGGATTTCTTACTGCTTTACTCTAATATAAATGCAAGTTATCCAAAAGTGTTATATCACTGCTAAAAAGCTCCCTACTGAAGATCAGAATTGTGTATTAGCATAGTAAAGGCTCTGAAATAAATTTACTATAAACACACCCACTTAATTTCATTTATGCCATTGTTATCCAAACATATCTGACCCTAAAGCAAACTATTTCAAGAAGCCCCAATTATGATCTCCCCATAATCCTGATCTCCAAAATAAAACAGCCTAAGAAATGTTACCACAGGACTACAGATCTGAACCGATTACTCAACAAACAGGAAAGGCCTGGTTTACCGGTTCTTGAATCAGCAGAACCTCTTCTTTAACTACTCCTTTGAGAATAATGAGGAGGTAAAAATCCACTTGTAAGACGATCGGTTTTAAAGCTGAGGTAACATTACCAAGTGGAAAAGAAATGAGGGCTTAAATCATCTATAGAACATGTACAGAGATAAAATTAAAAGAGGAAAAAAACTTAAAACACAAAACACTGGTAAAGTAGAATGGGTATGGATGAAGGATAAATCAATGAACTAAAACATCAGATTAAGGAATTCTATCAAAAGGTAACAGAAGGGCGGCACCTGTGGCTCAGTGGGTAGGGCACCAGCCCCATATACTGAGGGTGGTGGGTTCAAACCCAGCCCCGGCCAAACTGCAACAAAAAAATAGCCAGGCATTGTGGCAGGCGCCTGTAGTCCCAGCTACTCAGGAGCCTGAGGCCAGAGAATCACCTAAGCCCAGGAGTTGGAGGTTGCTGTGAGCTGTGTGACGCCACAGCACTCTACCAAGAGTGATAAAGTGAGACTTTGTCCCTACAAAAAAAAAAAAGAGTAACAGAAAACCATAGAGAAATTGAAAAGTAAACGGTAAGAGATAGGGAAATCAAAAGTAAAAGGACCCACATATGAAAAATGGTAGTCCTGGCTCAGCGCCTATAGCTCAGAGGCTAGAGTGCCAGCCACATACACCAGAGGTGGAGGGTTTGAATCCAGCCCGGGCCTGCCAAACAACAATGACAACTACAATAAAAAATAGTCAAGCGTTGTGATAGGCACCTGTAGTCCCAGCTACTTGGGAGGCTGAGGCAAGAGAATCGTTTAAGCCCAAGAGTTGGAGATTGCTGTGAGCTGTGATGCTACAGCACTCTACCCAGGGCAACATAGTGATTCTCTGTCTGGAAAAAAAAAAAAAGATAGTCCTAAATGAAAAAAAATTAAAATGCAGAAGAAAGTTCCTAGAATTAAAAATAGATGGAGCCAGGCACAGTGGCACAGGCCTACAGTCTCAGCTACTCATGAGGCTAAGGCAGAAGGATCACTTAAGCCTATGAGTTCAAGTCTATGGCATGCTACAATTGAGTCTATGAAGAGCAACTATACTCCAACAATGGCAATATAACAAGACCTTGTCTCAAAAAAAAAAATTCTCTCATTAAAAGATTCCAGAAGAGGGCAGAATGTGGTGGCTCACACCTGTAATCCTAACACTGTGAGAGGCTGAGGCTGGTGGACTGCCTGAGCTCACGGGTTCTAGACCAGCCTGAGCCACAGCAAGACCCATTTCTAAAAATAGCCGGGCATAGTCCCAACTACTCAGGAGGGAAGCTGAGGCAGGAGAATTGCTTAAGCCCAAGAATATGAGGTTGCTATGAGCTATGAGGCCAGGGCATTCTAACAAGGGCAACAAAGTGAAACTCTGTCTCAAAAAAAAAAAGATTCCAGGCTAGGTGTTCATAGCACAGTGGTTACAGCACTAGCCACATACACAGAGGGTGATGGGTTTGAACCCAGCCCAGACCAGCTAAACAACAATGACAACTGCAACAAAAAATAGCCAGGCATCATGGCAGGCGTCTATAGTCCCAGCTACTTGGGAAGCTAAGGCAAGAGAATCACTTGAGCCCAAGAGTTTAAGGTTCTTGTGAGCTGTGGCACCACAGCACTCTACCTGTGGTGACAGCTTGAGAGCTGTCTCAAAAAAAAAAAAAAAAAAGATTCCAGAGGACAAAGCGGGTAGGGGATTGAGTTCCCCGAAAATAAGACCTACCCAAAAAATAAGCCCTAGCAGGATTTCTATGCATTTGTTAAATATAAGACCTACCCTGATAATAAGACCTAGTGATGGTCGTAGCTAAGAATTTCAACAGGAAGTATTAGCACAGGGATCAAATGGGTCTCTGGGATCTCTTGTACACACAGCTAGTAAGAGTAAAAATTGATATAGACAAGTTAGAAAAGAATTTGACACTACCTTTTAAAAACTGAATTTCCATATATCAGGTATCCTAGTAATATCACATCTACATTTTTTTCCCAAGAGAAACTCTTACAAAAAGGACACATGTGTAAGGATGCACAGAGCAACATTGAAGTAGAAAAAGCCTAGAAACAATCCAAACGCCCAAAGCCATAAGTACACTGTAGTATATTCTCATGATTCTAGAGCAGTCAAAATGGCAGAAATTACAGCCTCATTCAAAAGCATGGATTTTAACAATACAGAATGAAGTAAAAGAAGTTCCAAAAGATGACATATGGCATGAGTCCAAGTAAAATAATATACTACGGTTTTGAAGGATAAATGTAGGTATGACCCACCCACCCACCCCCAAAATTTTTGTTTTAAGGCAGAGGACTAATCTACACAGTATCCAGAGCAGGGTTACCATTAGTACAAGGAGGCACGGGGATGAAATGAGGGAGGATCTATCTAACATAAGGGACACTGGGTTTGATTCTAAGTTAGTTGATACATTCACAGATGTTTAGCTTATTGCTAAAACACAAACCAAAAGATGAAGAAGAAATAAAGGAAGAGTTTTCAGTGTAGAATATGCCTGCAAAGAAATTCTTTACAACTTTTACACTAAAAAAAAATTCTCTGAATTCACATGTGCTTTCTAGTAGTCACCCATTAACCTGAATAACCTAACTTGTTTCCTTAAAGTAACAAGTATGTTTCCTGTATTACTTATTCAACCCAAAACCAGCAGGACCATTATCTTGGTACAGAGTTAGTTACTTACCGCTTGAAAACTTCTCCACACAAAAAAAAGAATAGCAAAAAATCCAACAATAGTTGCACATATCACCAATTCCCAGGGAAAACCAAAAGGATTAGGACCTGGTTTCATATCTTCAGGCAATGTTGCCACAACCTTCAAAGAAAAGAAAAGACAGACCTTAAAACTGCACTTTAGATTCAAAGTGTTGATTAGAGCACATTTCCCTGGCAACATTCAACCCCTGTGTCCAAGGGAAGAACAGTGAGGCATATGCTGAACTGCAATGAGCTTCACACTGGAGCCCCCGAGGTGCCTCAGAATGTCCCAGGGTGAGAATAGAAGAGAAGGCCAAAGAAAGAAGCTGGATGACCTGGGGTTGAGATGCTCTTACCCTCTTTTCAACCAGTTTAGGTTTTATCTACAGAGAACATTGATTCCAATATACTAATAAAGTTTCCCTACAGGAAAAAATAAATTGATCTGCAACTTAAAAAAAATTTTTTTTGAAAACCACAGAGAAAGCTTTGGATTTGGAATTTGAAAACCTCCACCCTCCCTCCGAGTCCCTTTTCTTGTCTGTAACAGGATTAATGCTGTTTGAAGATGCAGGACAGGTACTCAACAAAGGGTAACCATCTATATCTCTTCTCCTTCAAAGACCTGAGCCTGCACCCTCAGCCTTTCAACACTACTTCTCTCCGCTGCGGGTCATCAGCATAACACGGCTTCAGGCCTTCACAGTTGCTTTTTAGTGCACTTTTCTCTGGGTCAGCTCATTACTCAACCTTATCCAATGGGGTTGTTCTGCTCTTTGTTGCCAAGCTCCACATTTTACTCAATCACAAAGAAAGAAGAAAAGCAAGAGAAAAAAATATGTACCTTTTTAAAAACAGCCTAAAGTATGATCAGGTTTGACTTTTTTCCAGGTTTCAACCCAAACCTCTACAGCAAATCTGCCTTTCTGCCAACACCCTTTGTTATTGTCCACCCCAAAGTCTTTATAACTTTAATCCATATATATACCCTTCTAAGCTGCTAACTAGAGTTTTTTAACCTGTACCAAACACATTTGACCTTTTTTGTTTTTTGAGACAGAGTCTATGTTGCCCTGGGTAGAGTGCTGTTGCATCACAGCTCAAAGCAGCCTCAAACTCCTGGGCTTAAGTGATTCTCTTCCCTCAGCCTCCCAGGCAGCTGGAACTACAGGCGCCCACCACAACGCCCAGCTATTTTTTTGTTGTTGTTGTAGCTGGCATTGCTGTTTGGCAGGCCTGGGCTAGATTCGAACCCACCAGCTCTGGTGTATGTAACTGGCACTCTAACCACTGAGCTACAGGTGCCAAGCCCATATTTGATCTTTTATCTTCTAAAAAATATCCCTCAACCCTGATCTCTGCTTCTGCCTCTCCCTACATTACCCCAGTTACCAGGTGACAGAAATGTGACATTACAACAGTCAATTAACGATAAAAGTATTTATTTATTTTTGGCGACAGAGTCCCACTATGACATCCTTGGTAGAGTGCCGTGGCATCAAAGCTTACAGCAACCTCAGATTCTTGGGCTTAAGCAATTCTCTCGCCTCAGCCTCCCAAGTACCTGGGACTACAGGCACCCACCACAATACCTGGCTATTTTTTGTTGTTGTTGCCATTATTGTTTAGCAGGCCCGGGCTAGATTCGAACCCGCCAGCCTTGCTGCATGTGGCTGACACCATAACCACTGTACTACGGGCACCAAGCAGAGAAAAAGTATTTATTTAGGCATTCAACAAACAGTACTAAGGAGAAAAGTTTTCTTCAGAGTTTACATATTCTCCAAGCACCTTATTTTCAGCGAAGTTATTCAACACGTAAGACACACACTACCTTAAAAATCTAACAATAATCAATGTAATTTCTTTATGACACTACTACACTTGAAAGGACAATTCTAAAATTTTAGCATCTCTCTGATCAAGTATGAAATTGTCTCTAGTACAGTGATATTTCTCAGACTCAACAGCATTTTAACAATTCTTTTAGTCTAAAGGAGTTGATAAATTCAAATCTAAAGCTTTGACCTGGTTGGATCTGGTAGGCTGAGGAAAAGCAAAGAATCTGAGCCTAAAGATTTCATCCCAAATCCATTGCTCTGGTCTTAATTATTCTGGCTTTTTCAACCTTATGTTTTGACTACAATATAATGCCCTATCTGACAAAATCAAAGAAGGTATAATCAACTTTATAAAACATCAACAAATATAATGCAATACAGAATTGTATGTGATCTGGTAAACTGGTTCTAAATTTTAGGAGTAATAGATAACCCTCCATAAAATATGGCCTCGATTATTCATAGAACATTCAATATCTATTCCATTCCCAAAACATGAGTACTACAGGATTTTGAGACCAAGTTGAATTTAAAAAATCAACTAATCAAAAATTTGTTTAAAATAAAAACAGATAAACTAAAAAGCCAGGCACAGTGGTACATGCCTGTAGTTCCTGCTACAGAGGAGGCTGAGGTGGGTCACTTGAGCCCAGGAGCTAGAGGCTACTGTAGGCTATGAACAGCCAAGGCATTCTAGCTGGTCAACACAGTGAGACCCTGTCTCTAAAAAATTAATTAGCAAATTAATTAATGAAAAATCAACGAATCTAAGTTGACAAAATATGCTGAAATTATATTATTTTTCATCTGAAGTCAAACATGCTATGCATCAGTAAACAAAACATAATGTAGACTGTCGATGTACAGGCCCTCAGAACACTTGATTATGATGCAAAGTTCCATGAAAGGATACCTCATCAAGACATAAAATTAACACCAGTCATTCTCAAACTCTTCCCAAAAATAGAAAAGGAGGGAACATTTTGTAACTCACTCTGTGAAGCCAGTAATCTCCAACTCTTGGGCTTAGGCGATTCTCTTGCCTCAGCCTCCCAAGTAGCTGGGACTACAGTCATCTGCCACAACGCCCAGCTATTTTTGGTTGTAGTTGTCACTGTTTGTTTGGCAGGCCAGGGCTGGATTCGAACCCGCCAGCTCCGGTGTATGTGGCTGGCGCCCTACTGGCTGAGCTATAGGCACTGAGCCTAAAACAAAATTTTTTTAAGACTATGTGGTAACGACATAAGGACAGACATATAGACCAACAGAATGGAAATGAGAATCCAGAAAAAAACCCTTCAATTACTTTCAACAGCAGTACCAAAATAAAGCAATGGGAAAAAAACGGTCATCTCAATAAATCATACCAGGATACATCAATAAATATCCATGTGCCAAGGAATGAATCTAGGCATATACTTCACACTCCATACAAAAGTGAATTTATTCCCAAAGATCTTAATGCAAGAGCTAAAACTATTAGAAGGAAGCACAGGTGCAAATGTTTATAACTTTGTTGAAAGTCATTGTTTCTTAGATATAATAAAAACACAAGTAATTACAGAAAAATAGATAAGTTGGACTTAATCAAGATTAAAAACTTATGTGCTCCAAATCACACCATGAAAAAAGTGCACAGAATGAGAGAAAATATTTGCAAATCATCTATCTGATTAGGGTCTAGTTTTCTGAATATGTTTAAGGAACTCTTATGACTTGAAAATTAAAGCAAATACCCATTTCTTTTAATGAGCTAAAAGAAATGAATAGACATTTCTACAAAGAAGATATACAAATAGCCAGTAAGCAAAAAATCCCAAGTGTTGTAAAGGATGTGAAAATTAGAACCCTCATAAACTGCTGGTGGGGATGTCAAACTGTGTGGCTACTATGGAAAATAATCTGGCAGTTCCTCAAAAAGTTAAACATACAGTAAAAACAACCCTGCAATTTCACTCCTAGGTATATACTCAAGAGAAGTGAAAATATATATTCATGCAAAAACTTGTACACATAGCAGCATAATTCATAACAGCCAAATAATATCAACAACTGACATGTCCACCATGACATAAATGATATATTCATACAATAGAATATTTTCAGCCATAAAAGAAATGAATGACTGTTATATGTTGCAACAAGGATGAACCCTGAAAACATGCTAAGTGAAAGAAGGCATACACAAGAGGCCACATATGGCATGACCATTAATACATAATTTCCAGAATAGATACACAGACAGAAAATAGATAAAGGGGGAAATCAGGACTGCTAATAAATACAAGGTTTCTTTTTGGGGATTGCTACTAGGTATAGTTTCTTTTTTGAGCTGACCAAACTGTTCTGCAATTATGTTGATAGTTGTCCAACATAAAAAATATACAAAAACACCACTGAACGGGAGGCCGTAAAAAGGTTAATTATATGTTACATGAATATATCTCAATAAAACGTAACTTTTAAAATGAAAAATAAAATAAGCACATATTGTGTCATCTTAGTCCTCATGCCAATATTAAGAGTAATGGCGGCTGGGCACCTGTAGCTCAAGTGGCTAAGGTGCCAGTCACATACACCTAAGGTGGCGGGTTCAAATCCAGACTGGGCCCCGCCAAATAACAATGATGGCTGCAACCAAAAAATAGCCAGGCATTGTGGTGGGCACCTGTGGTCCCAGCTACTTGGGGGGCAGAGGTGAGAGACTCACTTGAGTCCAGCAGTTGGAGGTTGCTGTGAGCTGTGATGTTACAGCACTCTACCCAGGGGGACAGCTTGAGGCTCTGTCTCAAAAAAAAAAAAAAGAGTAATGGCATTTTAGCAAAAAACTAAGGCGTTAGTTTCCACGTGAAGGTGTTGTTCACCAGACTAGAGAAAACCCGCAAAATCTGTCTGCTCCTCTCCATCTCTCTCTCCATTGGCAGTTCTGTAAATACTAAGTTTTGATTATTACTGTTTTTAATGACAATGTGCAATCTGAAATTCTCTCTCATCCCACAATGTGCTCTTCTTCCTATAAACCCTACCTCAGGAATGACTAAATTGCCATAGCCAGAAACCCGGGATTCATTCTGGATTCCCTCTCTTTCTCTCTCCTCCCATGTCACCCTCCCACTCCCACCTTCCATTTTCCCTCTTAGCTCCTAAACACTTCCCCATTCAGTACTACTCTCTTCTCCATCCCTACCGTCATCTCTCCCTTAAGCCCTGTTTGCAGTTTTGTTGCTCTGACATCTAACCAACATGCTTCTATCAGAAAGATCTTTCTACATCAAAT